ACATCTGTTAAAATGCAAACAAACGATGTGGAATCGGTGGACCAGAGAATATGTGCGTGGTCTTCGTGAGCAACACCGAATGACTAGACCAAAATCAATGCAACATCCCAAAGTTGGAGAGATCGTGATTGTAGAGGAAGATCACAAACCAAGAAATACCTGCAAACTTGCCATAGTCAAGCAACTCATCACGGGTAGAGACGGTGTAATACGGACAGCTAAGCTTAAAACTGCTCGGGTGGTAATAATTACCTGGAACGTGCGATACAACACTTAATTGTTCCCGTTAGAGTTACAATGCGATAAAAAGATTAAGCTCGTCTAGATCCAGATGCACAAGAGTTCACACTGCACAAGAGTTCGCCGAAAAGGCGAAAAACAAACTCGGCCAAAATCACAACATTTAAACAAAAAAACTCTTTAAAATGACAGCTAAATACATGAACTCGTACTTAGGATAAGCACACACTAAAGAGGTTGAGAAGATAGGGGTAAATAGCTACAAAGTATTGTTGAATGTCAACGATTCTGCTTGGAATATTAACAAACATTAATTGTGCATAATTATATATTTTAAAAAAGCGCCGTCACTTTCATGCTTAAAACAACGCGCAAAGTTGAGAAAATTTTATCGCATTTGTCAGCAGTTTCCAAGAGTCTTTGTTTGTGTGTATTCCAGAACCAAAATTAGACCATTTTTATAAGCTTTTTCCCTTTAAATGTAGCTTTTAATACTTAAAAACGGCCATTGACTCTCGCGCCCTTCGCCGCTTAGTTGCTACTAGTAGGCTATCACTAATAGCCTACTAGTAGCGTAGCCAATCAGAATTCACGATACACGATAGCCTACTAGTAGATTTAATTATACTAATATAATTGGACCAATCCCATTCCCATATTAATCAAAATTTTGATCTCAACAAGTCTGGACAAAATTCCATCACAGCATCAAAGAGCATCACAAAATTAGTAATATTCCAAAGTTTCGTTGCGAAAATTTGTAAAATGCGGATAATTTAGCCTTGCAAAGTTTGTAATTTTCAGTCATTTTGTACTCCCGTTTCTAATACAAAATGACTGAAAGTTGCAAATTTCGCAAGGCTATATTATCTGTATTTTACAACATTTCGCAACGAAACTTGCATGGAATATTACTAATTTTGTGATGTTCTTTCCAGCTGTGATGAAATTTTTGTTTAGGCTAGTTGAGATCAAAATTTTGGTTAATGTGGGATTGGTCCATTGTCATGGCGCAGTTCATGGCAAAAATTAAAATTAACTGCACAGAATGACTTGGGACTTGTCTTTGGCACAGACAAAATGATTTGTGACTTGGAGTGAATGACTTGTTACTTGACTTCAACTCAGACTAACAAGAGTTTCAGATTCGAGACATGTAACTTGGACTCGATGTCGCAATTTTTGTGGCTTGTGACTTGACTTGTTAATCAGATTTTAATGATTTGTGACTTGACTTGACAATCAGATTAATGACTTGTGACTTGACTTGTTAATCAGATTAATGACTTGTGACTTGACTTGTTAATCAGATTAATGACTTGTAACTTGGCTTCGACTCGGACAAAATGACCTGAGACTTGACTTGGACTTGCAAAATAAGATTTGTTAGCAACTCTGTCGTGCAACAAGTTGCATGAAATTATGATGAAATAGAATTTATTTCATTTCATGTATTTTACAACATTTCACAACGAAACTTGCATGGAATATTACTAATTTTGTGATGTTCTTTCAAGCTGTGATGAAATTTTTGTTTAGGCTAGTTGAGATCAAAATTTTGGTTAATGTGGGATTGGTCCATTGTCATGGCGCAGTTCATGGCAAAAATTAAAATTAACTGCACAGAATGACTTGGGACTTTTCTTTGGCACAGAAAAAATGACTTGTGACTTGGAGTGAATGACTTGTTACTTGACTTCAACTCAGACTAACAGAGTTTCAGATTCGAGACATGTAACTTGGACTCGATGTCGCAATTTTTGTGGCTTGTGACTTGACTTGTTAATCAGATTTTAATGATTTGCGACTTGACTTGCTAATCAGATTAATGACTTGTGACTTGACTTGTTAATCGGATTTAATGACTTGTGACTTGACTTGTTAATCAGATTAATGACTTGTGACTTGACTTGTTAATCAGATTAATGACTTGTGACTTGACTTGTGACTTGACTTGTTAATCAGATTAATGACATGTAATCGATCGCGGGGACAAAATCGGTGTCCCGGTGCACGAGTCAAAATCTCACATTATTTTGTGACCATCTTAATTAATAATCGTCAGGCGTTAACCTATATGAATAAGTCAATAAGTTTTAGTACAGACCAGTGTTCAAGACAGAATGTGGAAAATATCAATAAAAGTACTGTAAGAATTTGATTGGACGAATAAAATGGAAACGAAATAAATTAAAATAAAACATGCCATAACTCAATTAATACCACATGCTATGCAGGCTGCATTTATTAATTTTGTTCGTGGCTTATATTGTACAAGTTAATTTAAAATTACTAATTAATTGACATATCAATGGTTATATGTTTCAAGAATATGTTACGTCGTGATGGCCAGCTGGCCAATTATAGTGCGCGTCATAGTTTTACTGGATTAATTTACGATCCTTATTTTCACGTAAGTGCAAGTTCAAGATTACAGGTGATATACGATTAACTCTCAAGCTCAGCATGCGAGCAGGCTAGTTTCTACAGCCTTACATCAGAGATGACTGCAAATAGAATGCACAGTTTGAATTTACCAAGGCAATTGCACCATTTACATGACTAATTAGAAAGCCAATGTATTCGTTATCAATGATGTACTTTCGATCCAGGAAAAGTGAATTTCGAACTTCACCAGTTTCTGAAAAACATTCTACATGAACGATATTGTTGCACAAATCGGCACTACAAACAATGTAATTCTTTGTGACGTGGTCAAAAGAAATTTTGTAATGCACTCTAGCGGATGCTTGATGCAATTTAACGATCCTTTTTAATCCGCCATCTTGTGTATGCACATAAAGCAGGAGGTCTGCGTCAGAACTGCCAGTCGCGACTGTTATTTCATCGGTTGATTTATCACCAGATACAAACAGACCCCACACTCTCTCAAATTCAGAATTCAGACGTATGGGAAAGCTTACAATTAGTTCTCCATTGATGTGGCATACATATAAAGTACCAGTGCTACACCCAAGCCCTTTGAAAGAACAAAAGACGATCTTTTTGTCTTTGGTTATAGTAATACCTGCGAGCACTCCTTCTTTAGTAAAGTTTAAAGGACAATGATAAAGAATTGTTCCATCTGAATGATAAACTGACAACGTATCTTCAGAATTATCAGAGCCACATTCACACGACACAACGTACATTGTATTGTTATCATCGATAGCTGCAGATCTACTGTACCACATTTTATCATCCGAAGGGGAAAGACAGCACGGTTGCCACTCGCCTGTTGCTCTGTCGAGCTTTTGAGGATGATAATTACCATAAAAAACACCTACTATATCTTTTTTGCTGTTTATAGAAAAATTCTGCTCCAATATTTTGTCAATAGGCTTTTTATATATTACAATGTCCCAGGGTGGTGTTATTCCCATCTCTCTCATTTTCTGTACGCTCTCTTTCTTGTAATGAATTGGATGGATAACTTGCTTGCCACATTCTATCATTGGCCAATCAAAAACACCCATCCTTCGATTTGTAAACTTCGAGATAAAACCAGCCAATAACAAATTGGTCGTCGTTATGGTATTCACCATTTCCCCCCGTGAATCTTTTTTGAAAAGGGATTTTATTCCTCCTTGAAGGTGCACTGAAAATATTTCCTTGATGGCTGGCATATTGTGTAACTCTTGCAGATAGTGCAAACAATCATTTGCCGCAACTTGTGGGTCGTCTATATTTTCAAGTATTCCGCTTGCGATGCGCACTTTACTTGCTAAAACCCTGTCGTTAATGCTCAGAGCCGCGTTGTGAAATGCTTCACCCGCTTTCTCTCCGGCTACTGTGAAGGATTGCTTAGCCGACTCAAATCTTTGATTTGACTCCATCTTCATTTCCCCAATGACATTAACAAGGGCAACTGCGTCTTCCATATTTACTGACTGAGCTGGCTTGGTCTGGGGTGGCTTTCCGTTCGTCTGTAACCATTCAGACGTAGATGGATTTCCACTTTCAGAAGACTGGCCAAAGGAAATCATCAGACGTTTGATACCTTGCTGTAGGCAACTTATGCTCATACAAAGATCTTTTCTCGAAATAGCATCAAGTTTGAACTTAATGTCGTCCAATTCACGTACAATCCAACCCCTAAATGTCTGATCAGTGAGACCTCCATCTTGGAGTGTCTCAGCGCCATAACAACAAAGTTTGGTCGATATTAAACCAAAGGTACACTTCAAAATAGCTGTGATTATTTCAGACATCCTATCACAACTAACTCATGTTACAATATCGAAAGCGAAAATGTTAATGAGATGACCGAACAAATACAATATTGTTTTATTGAGGAAGTCACAAGACAGTCAAGTGCTTTAACTTCTTGGGTATCAAATTTCCGATCTGTTTCAGAATTCCAATATTTGGTTTGACCTCTTCGTAGTGGGTACGACTTGTATTTTTATTCATCCCATATTTTTTATCAGGAATCTTAATTAAGCTGTCCTAATATTGGATAACAGTCGTAATTTCGTTATATTTCAAGTAGCATAAAACCAAAACATGCTCCGAATGAAAGCATCTTGCGCACTCACTAAAAGACCGGATATGCGGTAGATGCGGTAGTTCACAAAATAGTTCCGGTTATATTTCAATACATACACCACCAATATAACCGTATTTCAATATTCATCAGCAATACTTATCATCAGCAATACTTACAATACAACACTAATATATACCGTATTTCAATATAAATCACCACAATACAGTGCCGGGTTAAGTTGGTTAACCATATTGCGGAAACGGGATCGGATATGCCACGTACAGCCTTGTTTCGGCGCGGGGCTCAAACCAGCATAATGTACTGCAATATATTATAAAATGCAATATGCACCTGTCAGCCTGTCGTATGATATATTGCTGATACTCATTGTGTCGCTTAATTGATACAACCAATATTAACAATTATACAACGCGCTGTTTATTACTTTATTGACATTCAGGGTGGCATATTTCGAAACCCAGACTCGGACCCGCAACTCGGACTCGAAGAAAATCCGGACTCGAGAAAAACCCGGACTCGAAAAACATCCGGACTCGTGTTTAAAAAAATCCGGACTTGACTTTTGAACTGACCCGGACTCGAAATATAAAAAACCGGATTCAAAACAAGGACTCTGTGTACGAGAATGCAAAGGTTTTTTGGAAAGGTTTAATAATGATAAATGATGATCTCTTATAAACAAATTTCTAGAGTGCTGTTCACTATCTGGCGTAGTGCTGATAAAGAATCTGAGTTGCATCGGATTCAAAAATTGAGATGGAATAACAAATCGTTCTCATGAAAATAATTGATTTTTTCATTAAAACAAAAAAATTTTGCATTTTATTAAATGGATTGTAACAATAAGTATAATTACAGCTTTTCTTCCACTATTTTTAACTCAGTTTGAAACTTCAAATGCGATATAATTTTGGCTTGGACCATCTAAGCTGACTGACATCAACTTGCTATAATTTCTGTTTATATTACATCGCAATTCGATGACACTCTGGCATCGCAATTCGATGACACTCTCATTCGTTTAGGATTTTCAAACAACCTGGTCTCTTTTAAAATACTTTTAATTTGTTCTTACGTGGTTTTCCAGATGTAGTGACGACAACATTAAAGTTTAAAGAAGAAAATTCTAACATTTAAAGGGTATTGGCAACAAAAATTGCTTCATCTATCTTATCGCTTCATCTGAAAGAGCATGAAAAATAAGCCGATTGGCCGTTTAATGCTCTATTCTATCTCATCTAGTTCCGAAGTTATACGCAAAAATGTGAAAATATAAATTGCTGATTCAGCACAACGTGTGACGTCATTAGCTGGGTAAGTATGTTTATTGAATACTACACTGAAGCATAGCTCAGTTATTATGGGCCCAAATGAAATGAAATTTTGCATACTGATTGTACATGATGAGACGCATGGAAAAACACTTCTAATTTTGTTGCCAAGGTAACAATGTCGTTTCCAGGCCCCTTGCGCCAATTTTATGAAACAGCTTTATTCAAGGTACTGATAAGAATAAAATAATATCAGAAGTATGTGTATGATACCTATGCATGTCAAAAGTTTACTTGCATGATAATAATTCGAAAATGACATACACATAGATAAATGCAACTAGTTATTCAAAATCAGTGTAAGAGGCCTGGGGACGACTGTGTTGCCTTGACAACGAAATTAGAAGTATTTTTCCCATGCATCTCATCATGTACTATCTGTATGCAAAATTTCATTTGATTTGAGCCAATAATAACTCAGCTATGCTTTAGTTTACTATTCAATAAACATACTTACCCAGCTTATGACGTCACAGAATGTGCTGAATCAGCAATTTATATTTTGCACATTTTTGCGTATAACTTCGGAACCAGATGAGATAGAATAGAGCCGTAAACGGCCAATCGGCTTATTTTTTCATGCTCCTTCAGATGAAGCAATAAAATCAATAAAATTTTTTGTTGCCAATACCCTTTAATTAAACCGACTAAACAATAACATAGTAAACTTGCATAATTAAACAGCAACTAAAAATGACAGGTTTTACTAAATATTTTCCTGTGCAATTATTACTAGCATTGGAGACAAGGATAATAGTTTGTTTGAAAGAGAAAAGAACAGGCTTTGAAGTAAGCCTGAAAGCGTTTAACTAGAAATAGTATTTCGAAACGGTTATTAAGCACAAAAGATGAATTGCGTTTATTTTGATACACCCTGTATAGCAGACAACGTGATGACGGCAAGGGTAAAATATACCGAAGTACTGATGCGCTGCTACAGTGGACAGCACACTTTTCGACTTGTATTTCTTAAAAGTTGAACACGCCTTTTTAAGAAAAATGTCGACCGCGTTTTGTGGCTTAGACCATCATTTCAACGATAGCGAATCCCTTTTCGAAGTCCCGAATATAATATATTGCCGATAAACAACCTCAATAAAAATTATTTCCGTTTTAACAAAGTAACTTCAACCAATCTAGTCTGCGATAGCAGATATTTCTCGGTATCTTGAAGCCGTCGTGTTATTTCAGCTGCTGACGCCATCAGCGTGCAATAATACTTTTCTTGGACTGAAATTCGGTGCAAAAATATTTATTGCACTCTGTGGTTACCAACTCTCTAGCTTTTGAATCGACAATAAACAATTATTGAATGAGGTTGAGTATGATATCGAGAATTATCAAGGCCTTAATTTGGTTCGTATTCAGATCCACCTCAGCCTTAGTGGATAACACAAACCTCAGCCTTGATAATAACGGCTTATTGACCGAGCGTGAGGTCTGTACTGTGATATCAGACCGAGGTTTTTTAGTATGGACCGAGCGACGAAGGAGCGAGGTCCATGCAAAAAACATAGGTCTGATATTTCACAACACAGACCGAACAAGCGAGGTCAATAATCGGTTTATTATATGGCTGAACCGAGTGTCCGAGTCTGTGAGTATATGCTTTTCGCGCGAATTAAATCGGCTATCGTTAGTTTTACTGGGTAACAATATACTGCAGGCATGCATGGGCTCAATAAAAAACAATTTGGTTGTTTGAAATTTTTATCTGTACATTTTAATGACACACAATTGAAAATTAAAAAGCAAAATTTTTTTCTGTTTGCAAAGCAAAAATTTCCCGCCAGATAAACGACATCCGGGACACCGGTCCAGATACGGAAAATACGGACCACGGTCCGGATATGGGTTTTTACGGACCGCTTGTCAACCAATCAGAATAGAGAGTTTTGAAAAGCCATATAATAATTCTCGATATCATACGCAACCTCATTCAATAATTGTTTATTGTATGTCGGTAGTCTCGGTATGAGTGGTATACAGCTATTTCAATTAAGGTTGACTTTTCCGCTTTGCTCGGGGGACAACCTTAATTGAAATAGCGCATGTATGTATTTGAGGGATTACCGAAGATGAAAATGCCTGAAAAATATAACTAGAACTTTGCACGACGTTTAGGCCGGGGCTCGTTCGTCTGGAAATCCCCCATGCAAGTATATTGTTCATTGTTACCTTCTATATATGATTGCTATCGAACCCCACATCCGTGTTTTAGGTGCATATGCTAAAAAAATACTGAATAAGAAATTTGACAACTAAACCAGTTCTAGTTAATGTGCGGAACTCTGTACGGTTTTTTTCTTTCTTGTTGAAAAGCCGGATTCTTTGGAAAAGGGGGTCGGGGAGAATCTTTCTACAGCCGCTTACAGACGAGCACGGTTTCTATGACAAGTTTTCGTATATGGCAAGTTTTATTTGCCAATTGCACGCGTGTGTATGTACAACACATTTTCTATGACAAATTTTATGGTTTTCTGACTGCCCCGATAGGCTATCATTAGCTGATTACAACAATCGATCGCTGACCAACTGCATGCAAGTGCTCAAACTACTTTGCCAAATTTTCTTTGTTGACCCATACAGACGAACAAAATTTCTATGACAAGTGCACTTGTACAAAAGCTATCATGCCAGCTCAAGTGTACTTGTTATAGTTAAAATTGGCAAAGAAAACTTGTCATAGAAGACTTGCTCGTCTGTAATCGGCTTAATTAAGTTTCTGGGCAATCAATTTGATCTAAGTCGCGGTAAATTATGTTGAATTCGTGGTTATGCATGGCGGCTGAATGAAAACGTGGCTACCGTGCTTATATTTGCAATCTGCAGGGTAAGTTGTGTAAGAATATTAATATCGAGTTAATTAAAGTTAACTGAACTACCATCGACTGCAAAACGGGCAGTTAATAGGCGTAGTTATGATTTTCAGACAACCATGCAGGACCTGGGTAATAAATAACGCATGTGCCTTTTTAAACAAGGTGTGCTTTATAGCGCGGTAATATATTAATCAAGATAATAGATGAATCTATCAATGTTTAATTAAGACTCTACACAGTGGACAGTCCGTAAAATAAAAATCAGTATTCAAAACTACTAAGCCATTCCTTGCATTTAAAGAATCAAGATTCAATACAAGAACAATATGGAAAGTTACAACAGGGTTGACGCCGTGGACTCCACCAAGCATTTGGATATCCCATCTGGTTCGGAACAGGTTTTATTCCCTGCGTGTGTTTCTTCATTGCTTCCTTTATTTTCGTAATAATATCTTCATATTGCGTGGTATCTAGTTGGTGTCTCTCATAGGGATCGTTGGTGATATCATAGAGCAAAGGTGGATCTTGGTGGATTACATGTTTGCCGAAACATAAACAGGTAGAGAGTGTTGATACGCATGCTTCAGTCCCTGGATCCCAGTTTGGAGTGATAAAGTGAGCTTTCCATGTCACATTTCCCGTTAGAGGTCTGTATCGTACAGCTTGGATTGCATGGCCACAATAGTGAAACATAAACTGATGAGGAGATACAGCCACTTCTTGTGTTAACAATGGAAGAATATTTTTACTGTCAACGATTCTGTCATTGGGAATATCACGACCAGCAATTTGAGCCATTGTTGTGAAGATATCCATTGTGCTTGTTGCTTCATTTATTGTTATTCCTTCTGGGATATGATTCTTCCACATGGCAATAGTCGGAACACGGATCCCACCTTCCCAACTTTGACCTTTACCTGCAAGTGTTGAAACAAGTCAGATTTTAATACAAAACCTCGTTTACATGAGACCGAAAGGAAGACAGATAGGTAAACCAAAATTATTGGTGATGGGCTTACAAGAAATTAGCTCAAGGACATACATCCACAGCCCTCCAATCTTTACCTCATATATTACCATTAAACTACAGAAATGCGGCGTATGTCTCATCAAACTACACACGTGAAAACGCACATCTTTTAACAAACCTGCAGCTGATTTGTACCAATACAGTTTCAACAACTTGTGATCAGGATGTGTTTGTGCTGTTTGTTCCCATTTTTTGTGGCTAGTCTAGAACAAGTTATTACCTTGTTACAAGGTTGATGACGGTAACAGACTTGCCACAAGTACGTTGTTCCAACAAGACTAATACGTTTTCAGACAAATTCAAAAACATAGTTTGCTTTTCCAATTGATTTTTGTTGGGAAAGCATTGCTTCCTGGTTTGTCACCATCTGGAAACATTGGTAAGAAACAATTCTTCGTTGTCACAGATGGCGAGAACGAAGGGAGCTAGGGGGCAATAGCTCCCCCCAAGAAGTAGAAGTGAGGGAGCTAACGCCCGCAGCCCCAAGAAAAAGATCATATAGTGGGACAACTTTATATGAAAGTATCAAATTCTTCGCTGTATGAACTATGAAATGTAAAATAAACAAAACGAATACATTTTTGCACATACGATCTTCCCTCCCAAGAACGCAGGAAATGCTATTTCAGAGAGTCCAGATTTCAAACGTTTCTAGAGGAGCATGTTTCCCCAGAATTTGCCTAACAGTCCCGTAAGCAAACAAATCTTTCGCTGCCTATGTTAGTCGTGAAACTGTACACAACCTTCTCGGAATGTTTTACTAACCTCCTCGATAAAGCCCAGTCGATCCTCCACAATATTCCCCAGAATCAACCACCTCTTCAAGGAACGGCCCATGATCCGAAGTAAAATATATGAATGTGTTATCCAATATATTTTCACGTTCAAGACTTGAGACAATCTCTCCTACACTCCAATCCATCTCTTCGACATTGTCACCATAGCGACCGTGAACGCTGTGACCTTTGAACTGTGGTGATGAGAAAAGAGACGTGTGCACCTTAGCGTAGGACATGAAAAGAAAGAATGGCTCCTCTTTGTTTTTGTAAATAAATCGTTTAGCCTCGTCTGTGAACCGTATTGTGAGGTTTTCCAAGATAAGTGGTTGTTCAATAACGTCATATCCACGCATTAACACACAAATAGATTGCGCATACGCCCACTTACCGAATAGCAATGGTATAGATAAAATCACCATTGAGAAAAACATTAATAAAAACGTAGTCTTTCGCGAAAGGAATCCAACCCACATTAAGGCCAGCCAAAATATTACACTGGATATCATTAGAGGTTTTCCAAGTGTCCAAAGATAAGTCTCAAATTTCGAGCCATCTTCTATTGAGCCACAAGCAGCACGGATATTCGTCATAGGTAAGCCATAGAATTCATCAAAACCATTGTTCATGGGGAGGTAACAGCCATCTTTGTTATCATTACAGTTTAGTCCAAGATGCCATTTACCAATCACACCTGGAGTGAGACAATTTAGAATCATATTATATCTACGAATACTTGTGGTACAGTCGATACATGATTCTAATAATATACGCATTAGAGAGGTAAATTCAATTTAATTCGAACGGTCTGTGCCAGTGTAGGAAGTGCCAAAAATAAGAAAGCTGCGGATTGATAAGGAGAACTTCGACGTTTCGAGGGAAGGCTCTTCGTCGGGAAATTAGTAAACGTCGACGTTCTCCTTGTATTTTTCAGGTAGTTGTATCCCTATCAATCCGCAGCTTACCTTGGCTTCTCGATCGATGGAATTGAATGTAAATGTTATTTTTGTAAATTTCATCCACAAAAATCCCATCTATCAGTTTACAATTCTATCGATCGAGATTACCAAAATCATTATGTTTATCCATGTACCTAAAACTGGCATCACCTTACTACATATTATACAAGAACTTGTGGTTAAAGCTCTGCAACTGGACGTCAGAGCGCTGCACTGGAATCGCAGGGCCGCAGTTGGATCCGATAAGGTCTAAAATTGTATAAATTATCGTTCGAAAATTCCATCTACAAAAGTGCCATCTATATTCAATTCTATTGATCGAGATGCCCAAATTCTTGATCTTTATCTATATACCTAACACTGATATCACCTTAATATACATATAGATGAACTTGTGGCTAATGCTCGGCAACTGGACTCTGTAGCCCAGTGGTAAGAGCGCTGCACCGGAATCACAGGGCCACAGGTTGCAGCTGCTCCCCGTAAATCTAAAATTCTATATTAAAGACGTTTCCGTTTCATAATAAAGTTCACCACAATGACTCGATGAGGTCGCTTTTAAACTCTGCTCAAAGCTTTAAATGTTCAGCACCGTATTCAAGAGGACTTGTGTTTAACGAAAATGAGTTTTAAAGAGCTAGGTTGTTTCTAAAGAAAATGAGAATTTTCTGGGTAATAGGTAACTGTCCATATGACAGAAATGCCCTATCAGATAAGATTTGCATTAAAGATGAAAGAAGAAATAAGATTTGTATTAAAGAAGAATTCGCAATTGGAGTCTACTAAAATGAAAGAGAATGAATCTTCAAACTTAGGAACTTGTACTTTGAACGATTAAGAATGGTCTTTGATCAGGATAACATTCGAACGTATAAACTTATTTGTGTTAAATGTCGTAGTATTAATACTTTAACTCCATGTAGTACATGTTAAAGTTATCATTTTTACCTATATTCTTTTTTGCTTGTAGTTATTATTACTATTATTATTACATTTTGGTATACAGCCTAGTAGGGGACTACGAGTCCTTTTGCTCAGTACCTTGTAATTTATGTGTTGCTAATCAAAAAATAAATAGAAAATAAAGAAAATGAGAATTTTCTATGTGGTAGGTAACTGTCCATATGACAGAAATGCCCTATCAGATAAGATTTGCATTAAAGATGAAAGAAGAAATAAGATTTGTATTGGAGTCTACTAAAAAGAAAGAGAATAAAACAATCCACACAAAGCTACAGTACCAAAACTTATCATAACAAAGTTCATGGGCGTACCGGAAGGAAAAATTTAGGGGGGCGGCAAGAAATTTGCCCGACTTTTCCGGATTTTGCCCGACAAGTACCGAAAAATTTTTTCCGGAATTTGGTTTGGCGACCTCCCCCCCCACCCCCCCCGTCGCCAAAAAAATTTCGGTCAGTGTACCATTTTAGGGGTCAAAAATTTTTTTCGGTCATACCATTATTGTCCGGAACCTACAAAATTTTGGAAAATTTCACAAAATTTTCCGCAAAATTTACAGAATTTGTCACATTTATTTTTTTAATTAACCAAAATTGCCCGACTGTTCAGCGAATATTGCCCGACTGCCCAAAAATCTGGAGGGGGTCTACCGCCCCCCCCCCGCCCCCCCCCGCCCGGTACGCCCATGACAAAGTTCAAAAGTGTACCCACGGATCTGACTGACATTTTGAGCTAATTCGAGACGGAAATATATCGGGTGGAAATTGCAAAGGTAACTAAATTTCATATTTAAAAGTTAGAACAACTCGAGCCTAAAGTACGAACGACCATTGACGGACTCCCTTGATGGACGAAGGGCGAAAAACATTCTCGACTATTGACGAACGAAGGGCGAAAAACATTCTTAAGACTAAATATGAAAAGGAGAGTGAGATCATTAATGCGTACGTGCAAAGTATTTTATCCTTGCCTACTATCAGAGGGGGTGGGGGCTACTATAACAAAAATTCGTGATTTTACGAAAAGTTGCTATCGAGCGTTCAATCGTTGGAAACACTCTAAACTAAACACTCTGGCTACGTACAGGCGACACTACTCCAAGCCCAAAGCAATCAGAGGAGACCTAGTCCGCACCAAGACTGGGGGATTCAACCCCTTATTGAGCCATTGCACAAGTGGGCCGAGAAAAATCCAATTAAACAAGTGGATCGAGAACACGACAAGGAGCAGATGGAAAGAAGAAGACGCGGGAGAAATTATCAAACCAAGAACGAAGAGTGGAAACCCAGACCATGTGTATACTGCAAGAGTGACAAGCACAAATTCATCAACTGTAATAAAGTCACCACCACAGCAGAGTGAAAGAACAAGCTGAGCATCCAACTGCTGTGCTTGAATTAAAATACAAGAAAAATGGGACGCGGGTTGTGTTGTACTGCGAAATTATACGTACCACTGGAAAGCAGCAGACAACAGAAGAATGCATCTCAAGCCTCAAACGTTTTATTGCGAGACGCAGTCGTCCTGATAAAATCTATATCGATAATGTCGCCGCAGCCCATTGGTTACGAAAGGCCATGAAAGACGAACAGCTTCTTGGCTGGCTTGGGAAACAGAAAATTGTCTGGAAATTCAACCTCAGTCGAGCCCCATGGTGGGGCGGCCAAAAACGAACGGACGGTCGGATTAGTGAAGCAGGCGTTGTACAACACAATTGGGAAGGCCAAATAGAGCTTGAACGAATTGGAAGAGGTGTTGCTGGATATCGAGATAATTTTGAACACCGACCACTGAGATATGTAGAGGACAGGGGCGTAGCAAGCTTAGAAAAGTTGGGGGGGGGGGCAGGCTTTGAGGGGCACTTTCAAAAAAAAAGGGCATCTCAAAAAAAATTTTTGGCGACCTCCCCCCCCCCGTCGCCAAAAAAATTTCGGTCAGTGTACCATTTTAGGGGTAAAAAAATTTTCCGGACATACCATATCTTTCCTTAAATACTAAAAATTTTTTCCGGAAAAACAAATATATGATATTTTTATCGGAAACTAAAACATTTTTCAGGAAAAAACCTACATTACAGTTTTCAAAAGTTTCGTTTGGACAAAAACTGCGAATTTTATGAAAATTTTTCAGGCACAAAAAGGGCACTTTGCTTCTGTAAAAAGGGCACTTGCCAAAACTTGGGGGGGGGGCATGGCCCCCCTGGCCCCCCCGGTTCCTACGCCCCTGGTAGAGGATGACCTACAATTACTAATTTGCGCCATCACCCGTAGTCAGAAAACATGGACCTCTCAGACGAAAATGCTGACCTGAGATTGAGAAAGAGCAAAGTATATAAAGAAATGCAAGGATGCCTGGTGGTCGAGATGGTCATCTGAATATCTGAAAGCCACTTGAGAGGACGACATAATATGAAGAATAAAACCAAAGAGATGCTCATTAAAACTGGAGATGTTGTCCTCATCAAAGTAGATGAGCGGAACAGAGATAAATGGAAAATTGCGGTTGTCGAAAAATTTGATCAAAGGTAGAGATGGGATCGTTCGAGCAGTAAGACTAAGAGCTGGTAAATCCAACTTAGAGAGGACCATTTAACACCTTTACCCAATTGAGCTATCTTGTGATAGAACGACACCGAAAACCATTTTGGATCCAAGAGCCCACGAATTCAGAGTTCAGACCAAGAAGACATGCAGCAACCACTGCTAACGAAAACATCCGAATAATCGCTGAAGAAGAAACAGAAGAACATTAGTCACAAATTTGAACGTTTGTAGATGGTTTATTAGACCAAACCATTCCGTAGGTATATCGAAGTTTAGTAACCTTTAGTAAATAGTTTATAACATTATAATATATTTAGAAAGAGAGCGTAGGAAGTGGACTCGGACGAGACAAAAAGGGATGGGCTATTAATCCGCTAATGTAAACATCGTCTGGAAATTGTACTGTAAATTTAAAACATTCGAGACGAGTTTTTTTTGTATGGGTTTTACACAATCTCGTTCCCCGAGCCTGCGATCCTTTGGAAGGAACGCGAGGCTCTGGAATAATCCGTTTCAAGGAGGAATCTGATTGGCCGTTGAAATGGAATGCGTAGTTCAATCTTAGCCAGGATTCCTGGCTTCCGGCAACGGATTATCCCAGAGCCTCACGTTCCTTCCCGAGGATCGCAGGCTCGGGGAACGAGATTGGGGTTTTACACTGAGAGAAGTGAATAACAAGATATTAATTATGAGATGCATGTAAAATATATTATTACGAAACAACTTGTTTCGTAATAATATATGTTCAAACAACCGAGATTCAGTAAATGTCATGTTTATATTTTTGATTAAAGAATAAAGTTCCTAGAACTAATTCTTCAAGCGTATTTGTTGGAGATCAATTCAAGTCCTCCGACATATGTTTTACCGTAAACATCCACAATATCGTGCGGATCCCCCCAAATCCATTTCCAGCCAACAATTTGAAAAAATATAAAATAAAGCAAATGCAGAAGATATGCAACTTGGACTGATCCAAGATAAAGATACATAATTTAATTCGGTGTTGAACTGTTCACGACGACATCTTGCCAAGTGGGACAAACATCAGATAGTGAAAACAATGGAATTCCTAGTAATTCCCTATAGATAAATTTGCAAGTGGGGGTAAATTTTAGTGGAAACAATACTTTCAAGATGGCGTCGCGAACCCCCCGAATTCGGAATTTGTTTTAAATTGAATTGCACTCACTCACTATTGAAAAGATCAATTAAGAGTGCTTTACCTGTTTTATAACCAGATTCCTGCAATATTTCAGCGATGGTAGTCTCGTTGCTTGGCAATCCCCCCGACGTTGCAATATTTATAAACATCCTCATTTCACCTGGCCCTGATGCCATCCCAGAGCGAATTGCATATCGCCCAGTGAGTGTAGCTGCACGGCTTGGTGTACATACGGATTCTGGTGCTAAATTGTGATTCAACTTCGCTCCGTGTGATGCCAGATTATCAATATTGGGTGTTTTAATCGTATCATTACCGAAACAACCAATATCTCCTATGCCCAAATCATCGACCAAGAATACTACAAAATTCGGTCTTTCGGCAGCAGGAGTTACCTCTGCTGACACCACACATTGGCTTAAAAGATACACCAGAGCAAGGAACATAAAATTTTGTATCATATTGGACTAGCTATTAATATATAGTGAAAGATTTCAAGCATGACAGGCCAAGTGCGCAAATTGAGTAGAGTAAACAATAAGCGCTGTAGATTGGTTGCGCAACAGATGTACGAGTATCGAATTACGAACAGACTCTCTCCTGTGGGATTTGTAAGCAAAGGACTATTAAAGACAAAGCACAGCATTTTTCTTGCCCTCCAGAAATTGTTATGCAAAATGTTTTTAGGTCAGCTGCAACGGGCCTATGATACAGTAGTTTACATTTCAGGGCCGTAGCAACCGGGGGGGGGGGGGGGGGCTGCAGCCCCCCCAATAATTTGCTAATAATCATTCTTTTTTCAAAATCATGCAAACTTTATCATTTAATCTGTGACAAACTGCAAAGAATGAAGATATTACTCATACTCCAGATCGTTCCTCGCGTAGAAATTTTAGCTGATTTTCTGTCGCGCATTTTCAAGAAAATCCCACAAAATCTGCACATTTTTGATGAACTAATGATTTATTTTGTCTTTTGCGTGTTGGGTCTTGCGAAAGAAAACTCTGAAAATGCCATTTCAGACCATCTAGAGACTCCAGATTTTCGAAATTTTCTCAAATGTTCTGCCTTCATTTCCGCGCAACTGCCATTTACGACGAAAATTCCCGCCGCGCATTTATAATACTACAGTCTGGCCCATACTTTCCTGTAAATTTCGACATACTAAAACGCTGTTTTCTGACTATCAGAATTCTGTTAAATCTTCCCCCAAAGTCCAGGAAATGGCATTTTAGAGACTCTAAATTTAAAAATTTCCTCGGGCCTTCGGCCCTCGCTTTCAGCCCCCCCCCAATCGAAAAGAGCTTCCTACGGCCCTGCATTTTGAACTCAGTGCTACAGTTGTAAAATATGATTAGATATATATTATAGTTTATACTGAATTTTTAACACTCTTCTGGTTAGCTATGCTTGTAAATGAATACAGACTAGAGATTCAATTCAAGAAAGTTCAAAAGATACGAAATATTAATAACATTCCAACGGTCGGGTCCCGACCATTGGAATGTAAGCATGCGCAGAACGTATGCGCAGAACGGACTTTACATGGTCTTTAAGCATAAAAGATTTTAAGCCCCTGGAAATTGAAATCGAATTGCTAATAGATCATGATCATATTTACTGTTGTTGCACTGTTAAATAAATACATAAATTTTGCTTTATGCACTCGCGTGTGCAGTAATTTTGACAGTCGTGCTATTTTAAATTCCCAGGCACCTAAAATCTTTTGTCCTTAAAACAATGTCGATTTCTTGGGAAATTCCGAGGTTGCGTTTTTTTTTATACACCCTGTATAGGTCTATGCACATGCTGTACAGTATTGAACATCATTAGGTCTAATCCAGTAATCCTGCTATTGTAAAGGGATTAAAGAGGTTTTAAAATGAATAAAAGAGTCCAGCAAATAAATAACGTTTTAAGCACACATATTAAAAATATGCAGAATTAATTTGTTCGTTATTCATGTTCAAACTAAGATATCCTGGTGTAATCAATAGCTACAGTTTTAATGAATGAGAGGTTTAGTATCAAGTTACAATTAAAGACAAGTTTAATATCAACTAGTTACTACTTATCTCGAAACACGTACTCAATTCATAGATTGGATGGAACAAATAAACTGATATTTATTGGAAGGGGTTTAACAAACGTATACAGATCGACGTGTTTCTTTGCTGTGAGGGAGGGGTAGATAGGGACTTTATAATTTTTTTTCTCTAATATGGATCTTACTGCAGAAGGGGTCGGCGTGTTTGGGAAGTGGGACTACGCATCGTATAACTGGCAAAGGTATGACAACAGGAAGTGGTTATTTTTCCGGTCACGAAAACCAACCAGCTTTGCCTATATTTGTCCGTGAATTAATTTGATTGGTTCTTTTCTTGGTTCTGTCAGCTTGCTAGAATGTCAAGTAAATTTCATTAATTTTCGCATTCCTCGGTAGTCGAGTTGTGTGCGCTAGCTCCGGGGATCGAATACTTGAAGGAGATTCACGATGATTTGCGGCCTGATCAGTTCGGGTTAGAGGTTGGGGAAGGGGTTGGGTAAGGTTCCGGTTTTATTGTGTGAAAACAACCGCTTGCCATTTAAATGAACCAATCAAATTAATTCATGGACAAATAGCCGAAGCTCTTTGGTTTCCGTGACCGGACAAATAACAACTTCGATAATATGACTGCAAACTGTATGATTATTGTACTACCCAAATCGTGTTATTACTAATATAGAACCGATTGGTTGCAGTTTGTAATATACCTAATCATCTATCGTTGCTATACAATAAATATACCACTAACAGAAATACATTTAAATACAAAACCACAGGAACATTTTAAATGTCTACTTCTGTACAGATATTACATTATTTATTTTCTATAGTTTTTAAATGTCAAAAATGCACAAATACAAAATATATGCCGAATAATAAACAGTACAATTGTATACTGTGAGCTTTGTTTGCAATGGGTAATGCTTCCTGCAATACACCCTTCCAGAAAGTATGTCATCTGGGCTATAGAGCCTGGTTCATGTGAGATCAAGGCCGGATTTTGGTGGAAACATATTTAGGGGAGGTGCAGCGTCTAGTTCACGGCCCTCATGGAATGTTAGGACTTAGAATGTAGCCTTTTAATTGAAAAAACTAACTAGGAAAATCAATTAAGCATAATTCAAGATTAGCAATTTAAAACATTTTTTATTGTTAAAAATATTGATTTTTCCTGATCTTGAATTATGTATAATTGATTTTCCTAGTTAGTTTTTTCAATTAAAAGGGCTGAAACTCGCCTTAAAAACCATCATTCAAAAGGCTGAACTCCGCCTTTAAAAGGATACTTGACACAGAGATGATGAAGTGTAGACTCTAAACAACGCATAAAAATTTCACTTTGATCTATCAGTTAACCTTTCCCAAGACGAGGTGCATGACTTTTCAGGGGAGGTGAAAAAAATTTCAGGGGAGGTGAAAAAATCTCAGGGGAGGTGCAAAACGATCTCAGGGGAGGTGCACAGCTCCCCACGCCTCCCATCAAAATCCGGCCATGTGTGAGATTAGTTAAAGCTCAACGTGTCTCAATCACAAAAACGAGGCTCTATAGCCAAGATGACGTACTTTCTGGAAGGGTGTATCACACTTCCAGCATGCACAGGCAACGAAGAGGGAGTTCTAAAAATTCAACAGTCATATACTAAGTGCACATGAAAGTACCTTGAAAATTGCGAATAGCCGTAAAAAAATATTCACAGCTCATCTCGTTCCCAAGTTATTGGGCATTTTGTATTTTGACGACACTAGTCTAATATCTCAGAAGTGATTCAACGAAATTAAACGAAATATGATACAGTTAGTAAGTGCGTCTAAGCAAACATTTTAGAACGTGTCTTTATGTGGTTGTCTTAGCAACACACCAGTTACCAGGACTCTCTGTCCTATTTGTCTAATTCTTTGCTTTCAACAAAATAGACAGGAATTTTTTTCCATTTATTATTATCGTTCTTACAAGTTCTCATACAAAATGTCTGATAACGAGATGAGCGGGGAAAAAGTCTTTATAACTTTCAAAGTAGTTTAAAGTACTGCATAAAAACGGGGGGGGGGGGGGAGTTCTGTCATGTTCACTTTAACATCTTTGGCGATAAATTTTCCGTTCAAAACAAATAATAATGCGATCGATGTTCGGCACTGAATCACCAAGACATCGATTTTTCTTCTAAACTTAACTTGGTGATTAAAGGTTTTGCAGGAATTATTAATTCCATCACAGTTGGATGATTTTGATGAGTGCTAAACCAAGACAATGTCAAGACAGATACAGTACAACAATATTAATCGTGAACGACTGTGGTAGCTTTGGAAGACTAGTCTCACAGACAAGCAAGTTTTTCTTGACATGTTTCTTTGCAAGTTGACATGTGTGTACATGTATACGTTCAACAAGTTCTCCTGGTCGCCTTTTCTCGCGCGTACGACAAAACTTCGACGGTATTCCTTGCAATTTCTCTTTGCTTAACGCCATGCAGAAGCAGGATGACCGCGAAGAAAAAAAAAGCTGGACTATCTTTCACACAAGGAAAATTTGTTCAGTTCTTGGTTTTACGTATAAAAATAGATAAAGCTAATCATGGAAACCTGTCAAGGAACAATTGCTCGGCCGTACCGGGCTTACAATTAGAGAGTTTGAGCAAGACAACGAAGTACGAAAACGAAAGCATACTTGACAATTTTTGCCGTCTGCACGTTATCTTGCGCATACTGAGTTGGACGTCACTGGTGGTTGCTCAACGTGTCTTCCCATGTGTCGCTGTTTATGAATACTGACCATAATTCTTGCTCTGATCCACAAAAAAACAGCGAGACATGAAACTATATCCCGTCTTTGTCCTTCTGCCTTCGTGAAGAACGAAGTTCACAACGAATTTTGCCAAAATATTTGTTGTGAACGAAGGCAAAAGAACGAAGACGGGATATGGATTCATGTTTCGCTGTTTTATCCTGATTAGGGTAAGGATTTGGGTCAGCATTCACAAACAGCTAGACATGAATCTCTAACCTGTCTTCACTCCTGACTCTAAACTCAGAATGCGCAAGGTAATGTGCAAGACAGGCAAAAATTGTCAACCACGTCGTCGTCGTCGACTTCGTTGTCTTGCTCAAACTCTCTAATACCCTATACACGATAGTCTAATCTGAGTTATATATTTAATTGTTTATAATATGTTGCCAAATGTATTAAATAATGAATCTATTTATCTAAGTTTTAAATGTGCCAAATGCTAAAACCGGTACAAACCAAGCAGTAATATTTGACGTCATTGGATAATTTTAAACGTATATATGACAGTAAATTCAATATTTACGTCAGTGAACAATATCCACTGCACCCCTGGACGACTGAATTGCCAGTGTTGGAAAGATCAACACCTCCTGACGTTTGACTGTCTTTCTCCCACAATCCTGGAGTTTGGATTATCTTAAAGACGAGAACACTTATTACGTCAAAATGAGAGTATTTAAATAAACACAATCCATATTTTAATGAATACAGTGCGCCTACCCGGAATAATACCATACATTATACTATATCAATGGTGAAAATCACTTCTTTTCGGAGGAAGCAAATTACCTCCATCACTTTTTAACCTTATTAAGTCAAACGTTTCGACAGACTGTCTATTTTTCATAAAGGTTGGGGCGTGGGGGGGGGGGAGTTCCGCCTTTCAGCCACTGGATCCTACACTTTAAGAAATTACTGAACAATAGACATTTGTAGCATATACTCGGGAGGTGGATAGTGCTTTTCGCGCAATTTGATTGGTTGCTCAACTCTGGATACCCCAACCTCGTACCCAGGCTCACATCAGGGCCGTTTTGTCCCAGTGACAGACGAGCAAAGTTCTTACTAAACGAAGCTGGGGCTCCGCCAAACACGAAGAAAGACTGACAAAGTTTTGTTTAACAGTGTGTAGAGGCATTCTTTAAAGCTACTTCTAATCCTTGCACTATTCACCTCCACTTTGGTGAGTAGTTGTTAAATATTCAGGACATTTTGAAGTAGTGCAGCATCACAAATACATAAAAGACACAAAAATAACAAAAAAAAAAATTCTTAAAAATTTAAAATATAATTCAATAAAACTGACCTTTTCGACGAGCTCTTCAAATGCGTACTGCACGCCATCTTTTGTTTTCGCACTACATTCTATGAATAACATTTTGTTTCTCCTTGCAAACGTCATTCCTTCTTGTCGATCTACTTCACGATTATCCTGTATTTAGTGAAAGAAAACCTGATCTGAGGATGAGAAATTTACGTAGAGAAAATAGATGCGAGATCTGGCCTAGCCAGCCCAACAATTTAGTCCCGCTATGCAAATTCAAAATTTGATTATCATAATTCATTTCTTTAGAAATTGATTGTTTTCACAGTCAATAAACACAAAAATATTTGCATAGTGGAGTGGGACTAAATCGTCGGGTTGGTCACGCTATACTGACCATTGCTCATCTCCGTATTTTGTTGCAGTATTCACCTCTGGATAAAAACAAAATGGCTTTCCGTTTCGTTGCGGTTACAGACGAGCAAATTTTCGTACTAAACGAAGCTGCAATTTCGCCAAACATGAAGAAACCCACAATGTTTTGTTTAGCAATGTGTAGAGGTATTCTTTTAATTAAAAGCTATTTCTAATAAATAAAAATGACAAAATTGCCGAAAGCGTGTAAATACTGCTTTGTTCAGTTACAACTATTACGGGAGCTGAATACAAAATTGTTGTTATTTTTGCTTTGTGATGGCTACGCTATATGTTTCGGTGAATATCCTTACATTATTCACCTCCACTTCGGTGAATAATTGTTAACTATTAAAGTAAATCCACCTGCAGTATGCATACGGTAGGTTATCACAGATAGCTTTTGCTTACTCCAGTTAATTTTGGTTAGTAAGTAAACGATCACCCAATACAATAGATAAAGTTCTCCTAGGGCCAACGGTCTAACATCCTCGTCCTCAGTACAAAAGCCACTTTTGGAATTGCTTTTTTTTTAACTGTTTGTTTGGTGGGAAACATCATGTCCATGCTCCATGAAAAACATTAATATATTTTATCGCCATGCAAACCTACGGCATTGTGATTTTAGTTTTGCTCACCTTATCTATTTTATTTCCAACTAACATTTTAATGATATCGCGTTTCGTTGAATATACTTCCACTTCATTCAACCATTCTTCTAACTTGTTGAAAGAATCCCGATTGCTCGTATCGTATACTAAGGAAAGAGAAAATGAAAATTACCGAGTGTGCAATTGTAACCAAAGTAAGCAAACGATGGATATTTCTGCACACAAGACGGCGAATACGGGATCATTTACTGGACTACTTGTTCACGAATGATCACTGGTTATTGGCGAGGAATTTCGACCTTAACAATGGTCAAAAGTGTAGTTTTAAATAGTTCTTACCTAAGATACAACCTTGTGCACCACGATAATAACTTGGTGTTAAAGTTCTAAATCTCTCTTGCCCTGCGGTATCCTATATGAACAAGAGATAATATTTCAAAACGACTAATTTAACAAAAACAAGTTAGCAGTCGATCCCGAGATCCTTTTTTAGATATCACCGACAAATACTGTCAGAACCGGCAAAAAAGATGTTTAGCTGCATGTGCAAATAAGATTTAATAACTCTGTTGAAGTGAGTTAACATTGGATAGTCTAATACCAAGGTAAAAATAAGACTAACAATGCGCATAAATCTTCTAGCACTGCGTTCGCGTCGCGTTTCTAACATCACGTTACATGTCGCAATTAAAACGGCAAGTATTGGCGTGAATACTTTAGGCGCCCTTTTTCGAGTCCGTACGAAACTCATGGTCCGAGGCTCCGAGCGCATTGAAACGCGACATGTACTTTAGGAACGCAATTGGAACACTATCCTTCGGTTGAAGCTATTTCGTACCAGTCATGCACATTGTCCTTACGTCCTTAGAGCTTTTGTGAATTAGGGACCGGTCATTAATTACAGGGGAGAGGGGGGGGGGGTGTGTGGTGGAAATGAAAAATTAGATGCTAAAATTTTGTTGCCCCCCCCCCCTTGAGGTTAACACAATTATACTTGACCCCCCCCCCCCTCTTATAAAATGAAGCCACATTTAATCATACTACCCTAACATATAGTTGCCAACTTTGGGAAAAAACATCCGTGAGATTTTGAAAGTATGGAGTCTCTAGATCGTTGGAAATGGCATTTTCAGAGTCTTCTATACCTTATACACACAACTTTTGGTAGCTTTTATTTAGATATACAAAACCATATTGTTGAATACCCACAAGTACGAGGTTGCATGAAGTGATGTTTTGATTATCTATTTTTGGCTTAATGGCGGGAATTTTTTAAGAAGAAAAAAGTTTTATGTTAAATTTGATGCAAATGAAAAGTCACTCTTAATAGTTAAAATATGCAACAAAGCCAACATATCTAAGAACCCGTGAGATATTAACAAGCTCACTGTGAGGTTTTAGTAAAATCCGTGATGCTCATGGTGGATCTGTGAGAGTTGGCAACTATGCCCTAGTATATTTATATATTCTTTACCATTTATGGAGTTAACAGCTGTTCCAATGTACATGTTTATGTTGAAATCAGTTTAAATAAATGGTGTTGTGTTGGAGTTTACTACAGTAATAATGTTCTACTGCTCTCTATTTTTATCTGTAGATTTTATAGTACGACGGGGTCATGCGGGGCAGATATTTATATTGCACAAAAATTCCCCCCCCCCCCTTTTTCATGCACAAAAATATCTGACCCCCCTCTTTTTCCACCAGCCCCCTCCCTCCCCTGTAATTAATGACCGGTCCCTTACTGGAGCGTACCAACACACACGCACAGCCTAGACGTCAAGGTACGTTATTCTTTAATTTAAACCCTGCTCAAACGAAGGTAAGAATTCATGAGAGAAGGAAAGTGAAAGTTTGCATTTAGAGTTTTCTCGACTTTCAGCGAGAACAAGCGCGGTTGCATATGGCACTTGTTATCATGTGTAGCAAAAACTTTCATCAACTATCATTACAATTTGCAGCAGCTCAAAGTTAATGATGCGAGTTCACGAGAGTGAATGAGCGTCGGATAGATTTGGCGGCAGTCAAACGTGAGCGAGAGTTGCAACTCGCATCTTCGTATGACCGGTTTTAATGAACCGTTTCCAAAAACAGCCGCAGAACTCACCAAACGAACATGAAATGGATAGGCGTGAACAACGACCGATTTACAGGGACGTAAACTTGGTATAAACATTAGGGGTGTGTGGCTACGTTTTGCCCGATAAAAGGGTGTGGTTGGAAGAGAATGTAATGATACTGGGGAAAAATTTAAAATTTATGAGGGTCCACAGGGGTAGCGTCGAAGGCACATTTCTCGTCCTCAGGCCTATGTTACGTTATTTTTCGTAGTGTACCTGGTCCCGTCTAGAGACAATGATGCGTAGGCACATGCAAGTATGCTCCCCCCAGAAACTGGATTTCTAGGTTTTTATGTTATTACTCAACATAATTTCAATGTATTTTTGCCCAACAAATTACAGTCTCAATCCCCAGGGTTTACGCCTCTGCTGACTCACCCGACTAAAGGCGGTTTTCCACTTCGCCCGTATCGTACCGTAACGTGCGAAAACGTTTTTAAATTTCAAAATTTCGTGAATGTTGACTTGACTTTTTATTTTGATACGCGAATACACCAGGAAGTACGTGGATTTATAAACCTCTTTTCAGTCTGCGCATGCTCACCGATACGTTACGGTACGATACGGGCGAAGTGGAAAACCGGCTTAAGGTACCACATTTGTATCTACGGAGCTCTTCAACAATCTTATTTAAATTTCCTAGATTGTGAAATCCAAGCTCATGCTCGAAACCCAAAACAGCAGCTGTTTATAATATATACTAACCCAAATTGCCAATTTGACTCTGTTATCATCTATAGTAACTGTCTTGATTTTAAAGTCAACACCTAAAATCATAAATGAAGTATGATGCATACATTACAAATAAATTTTCATGATTTTTGTCAAATAGCCAATTACTTTGTTGAAAATTATTAATTAATTAATTAAAATCTACCTTGAAGTTAACTAATGGTCCACATGTTTAGAAATACTAAGCTAGCATAATTATTTGGTCACAATCAGGCACATATCATTTTGAAGTTTGTAGTCACATCTTAAAAATATTGAACACTCAAAAACTAAAATATGATGGATTTTGCAACCTGCACATTTTCAACTGATATGAGTTTTACTTGTAAAGTACGCACTAACATATTAATGAGCACTGGTCTCAATTCATGGACCTTACCAATAGTGGCTCCTAAATCTGGATCAAATGTATCATCAACGAATCTTAAAAGTAAGCTATATGAACAAAAGAAGAAATTTGATGAGTTAAAATAATAATAATAATAATAGAAACTTTATTTATTTCATAATATACCATAAAACTATATTTACATTGATAAACCTCGCTCATAGAGGTAGTTTATCGATGACTACTTGAAAAATATTTGGATTATATAAATTTACAAAAATAAGGAATTTAATATTGTTCAAAATTTTAGAAGCTCTGGGCTAGTCCAGTCTTTGTTTTGCTGACAGAATACATAATATGATGTGCGAATACAAATAGCAATGATTTTCTTTTTAATGTATTTAATTGTTGTTCATCGAACTTCAGTTCCTTGAGCATATCAGTTAAGGTGTTCGTCGATTGACCAAAAACGCCTAGCGAGCTAGCTTATGGATACATACCTTATCATAGTTACTTTCTTGATCTGAAATAATTAAGCAGCAGATATTTTTTATGTTTTTGATCTGAGTTAGAGTTAAGATTTGTTTCAAAGCCAACAGTCAGTTCCAAAACATATAAAACTTTATTTTCAATTGCCAAGAGAAGGTCTGGACGTAACTGATCAATAATAATAATAATAATAATAATAGTAATAATAATAATAATAATAATAATGGAAACTTTATTAATGAATTTTTAAAGTTACATACAATTGTAAATCTCACTTATATAAGGTAATTCACAACCGTCTACTTGAATCAATAATAACTATACATACACATGCATTATAACAATAATAACAAACAACAAATATATAGTACAATTTTTAAATAATAATAATAATAATAAAAGCATTTATTTTAACATGATAATTTTACAGCATAGCTGATGTGGTCGTGTAACTAACTAAGTAACAAATTCCACGAAAACATGACTATAGAGTAACTGTTCACTATAGGCTAGAGCATAATTGTTCACATAAAAACACATAACAAACAATCACATTATTTGACACTTGCATGACCCAAACTATTATACACACATCTATTACAACTTAAGTGCTTTAACAGACTTTAAAATAATAAAATAATATTTAACCAGGGGTTCATATCACCATGCAAAGGTGTTTTTCAATGAAGTTGTGCATACAGTAGTTGCATGGTCAACATGTTTTGGAAAGCATAGAGTTCTGCTGTTGCATTAGTTGCATCCATTGCCAATATTTTGGGCATTTTGTTTGTAGGAAATATTAGCAGGTGAGTTGATTGCAGATGGAGTATTTGTACACAAATTTACATACATTTTTACACCTAACCAAGAGCAGTTGCAAAAAATGCAACCGTGGGCCCTCTCATAGGAATCAAATCTGCGACCCAGCAAAATCGAGTCCTGCAGCCCCGCGATACAGGAATCACAGGGCCTCAGGTTCGTTCCTGCCAGGCCTATAGTTACATTTTCCCCAACTGCTCCTGGGTAGCTACTGTAGGTCTAAAAATGTATATAAATTTGTGTTTGAATACTGCATAGATCTACTAACAACCTATCTAAAATAATGATGTTGGGAGATGAGGCATGAATGACGCTCTACCTTCCTAGACCGCCAGCCTGAGCCAGCTGATCAAAATACGACTGTCAATGGCATTTTTTGTTTCAAGCAAACAACAAGCATTTGAAAAGTTTGCCTATTAAATTATTATACTCCCAAAAAATGTGACATTTGAAGTTCACTTAAATTAGCATCATCTATATAGTTGGAAAGAGCATAAAAAAGTATATATAAGACATTTAAATGAGTAATACGATTTATTTAACCAAATTTGAGTTATGAACACAGAACACTTAAAAATGTGGAAAATGAGGTAAAATGCGGTGAGTGACGCCACAAAAGCTGTTCTTTAGCAACTTTAAGCGCCTGTAACTCAAAACAGGGTTATAAATTCACACTTCTCACTTAAGTTCTATAGCTACTTTTTTCGAACTTTCTGATTATATACTTAGGTGATTTTTGCTGAAAGTTGGTTTCAAATTTCACAGTTTAGTAAGTATAGCAATTTAATAGGTAAAGTTTTCAGATTCTCAAAATGTTTCACTTTTTATTATTAGCATGACAAAATTACTGGATGTGGATTGGTTGAGAGGAATACAATTATTTCATTAATTGTACTGCAGTACAATTAAGGATTTTCCCAAAATGGTGGAAAAGTATATTTTGAACACAAATGTGAAATGAAATTGCCCTTGAGTAACTAGATGAAAATACGAACAAAAGCACCAAATTTTTCTTTAACAAAAGAACTAAATGAATATACGAACAAAAGTACCAAATTCTGGTTGAAAGTCTGGCAGGACTGGGCTTTGGCGAGAGAATATGATGTTCACGGAGAAGTATCCAATTTTGTCATATGCTAATAATAAACAAGTAATCATGCAATGTTGCTCGTACAATTAGGGATTAATAGTACTCGTGATGTTTGGAAATTTGCTAAATTGGACTCGCCCCGGCGGCTTGTCCAATTTTGGCAAAATTTCCAAACATCACTCGTACTATTATTATCCCTAATTGTACTCGCCATCGCATGATTACCTATACAAATTAAAGCCAATATCAGAGGTGGCAACCTATCAAACATTGTTCTCCAGTGTCGAAGCTATAAGAAAATGCCAGTTGCCAGCTTGTAACAAAAATGCCATCAATGGCATTTTAGAGACACTTTTATTGAGGTTGGCTGGCCGTCTATATCTGAGCTACAAGGCCAAGTTGGGAATGATGTTATTTTTTGTGATGGTAATGACATGAACGAATTTCTTCTTTTCCATGCCTGGTGCCAGGTATTAATCCAGCAAATGTTGTATATGATTTTTTCCCCTGAGATTCTACTTGTGATGTAATGTATAGGTGTTTTGATCTTCTTACAACAAAAAGGGGTCTATTTTCCCCCAGCTCTTGAGTTTTAATAAATAATGATATAGACAGGTCTCTGTGTATGCCGATTGTTGCCCAAGCGCTTTATATGCTGCAATGTGCTCCAATGTCACAGTACTTTATTATTTCACTCAGGAAGGAAAAGATTTGGGTTTCAATTAGTTAAAGACGGAAATACTGTGAATAGACTGGCACATATATAAACATTATAATTCAATATAACTGCATGTTAATCAACACAACAATATTAAACTCACTATAAACCAGGATGATTTCATACCAATAAGATGCACAGCTAGCAGTTTCATAGTTTTAAACATTACAAGCATTACACTACATGCAGTTCGTACACTACACTTCAAATACATATAATTTATATAAAATTTGAAAATATTAAAAATATATTATTATTAATTTGGTGACTGAATGCATGTAATTAGTACATATTTGTAGAATTGAAATGAAAACAGTATTTTAACCCCAACAATAGAGATTTGAATAATATTCTTTATACATAAACTAAAATTAACCTGGATTTTCCAACACCACTTTCTCCTATGATTAGAATTTTCAACGTAGCCAACACATCAGCATCCATCTTTGTTGTTGTTATAATCGAATGTTCCAAATTGCGTCATATTACCTAGTTTACTAATGAATCCACGAATACTGGAACAGCGACTTACTGCTTCGTAACTACTTTATATAAGTTAAATTAAAATAACATGTCGAACACATGTAACTGATGTATTGTTATAAAGTATTCATCACAGAGGTATTCATATTTTTAAATCAGTTTTCAAGAAAACGGCGCTCAAATTTTGGGTTGTACTATTTTTTAGCCGGGCAAGTTGATGGTTGCTTATTTTCACTTATCCTCATCGAATATCTCACACCTCGTCTTTAAATTTATACCATAAACTAAACGGACAAACTCGCAAGTCAGGCTCTCTAAAACTCCACACACTATGGCAAATGCGGAGGTAAAGAGCCATGCTTGCGACTCAGTGCAGGTCTGCTCACTTCCATAAACAGGTAGGCCCCTGCCGGTAGGCCCCTGCCCATTTAGAGTGCCGACGGGTGGGCTACGTCAAAAAGATGCAAAATTTGCTGAAATACATCAACTTCGCCACTTTTTCATCCTTTTTCAGGGCCCTCTAATTGATTTGGGCCCCAGGCCAATCTCGTTCCCCGAGCCTGCGATCCTCGGGAAGGAACGCGAGGCTCTGGGATAATCGGTTTCAGGGAGGAATCTGATTGGCCGTTGAAATGGATGCGTAGTTCAATCTTAGCCAGAATTCCTGGCTTCCGGTGTCACAGTGATATGAGTATCCCCGTGTTTTGTGTATCCCCATACTAATATCACTAGGGATATGTGTATCCCCATGCTCACCTCACTAGGGATATGTGTATCCCCGGCAATATGGCGGTCGTGTTCTGCGTATCCCTAAAGAACCACCCTACATTCCCACATCACTAGGGATACAAGTATCCCTAACATTTCGCGGGAAATAAAACATGCAGAACTGCACATACAGGCTTGAAAATAAGACTCTAAATAGTGTGTTGGCTTGTGTTTCGAACAAGACTAATACCAAAAAGATATGTTGAAAGGGGCCGAAATTATATTCGGCGAAAGGTATGGCTTAGTGATGCATTGTTTTCATTCTTCGAGTTTATTGTATATAGTATGGTATGGTTAGTTTACATTGTTCAAATATGCCTAGTTTATAATTTATGGCTATTTTACATTGTTCGATTTAATAGAACTTTTCAAGCGGATTTTTTTGGTGGTACTTTCGTATTTCTACTGCAAATACTCGCGGAGTTCTGTAATATTTAAACTTCCTGTCATAACGTCGGAAATCAAGTAATACGCAGGCTAGTAAGGGCCCGGTCATTATTTATGGAAGGGGGGGGGAGGGAAAAAATGAGGGGGGCCATATGTATAAATAAATGACTAGAAGGGGGGGCTATTAAATTTTCCAAGAAAATGAGGAGGGGGGGTTGCAATTAAATTTGAAGGAATTTGCTTAATAAGCATGGTATCCATTTGGTTGTAATTGCGACTAAATCATGGTCACTGGTGTGAAATAGTTTGGATTTATCTTGTCTTCTGTGTGCTGTATGCAAATCAGTCTTTACTGATTGCAGAGATAAATTGACAATGTATTATTACATCAGCTATCTTGATGTGGTTAAATACATTTAAGCAAGGTTAACAGCGAATGTACTATGCAGGCCACATCCACTGATGGGAGTCTGTGACGTCATATCGATTAAAGGGGGTTGTTTCGCGCCTTGTGATCAGTGCGTCGGTCTGGATATTCATACTGCCATTGTATGCTTTGCCTAGCTGCAACAAGTTTAGCGCTTAGATACCTTTCCCCTACCCACCCCACCCACCCATGTTTATTCTAGAGGATTTTATCTGGTAGTAGGTCATTTTATTTTATACGGTATAATTTTTAATCTCACATAAAATAGGATGTATAGACCACTATACATTATATTTTGTTTCCACTGACTTGTCAGTGTGACTGGTGCCGGAGGTATGCCTTGGCAGAATGTCCAGAATTGTCATGGCTATCTCCTTTTGCGGCTAATATTACTGATTGTTACTCTCATTGCTATGCAGCTGCTATGGCAATACTTTGTGCCATCAAATCTAGTTACAGCCTTGGACCACAAACGGCACCTGCCTCCAAACACTAATATTAATTATCTGCCGTTAAACATGGTTACAATCGCCCAGATCAAATGGAAACCTGATTTTAGAGTTATATATGAAAATACCCCTCTTTTATTTATAATTTTCTGCTAATATATATTTTTGGTCGACGTTAATATCTTGTCTGCTCCATATTCTTATTTAATTAATAATTAACATTATAACGCCTGGGTATCCCCATTTGTCGAGTAAAAATGAAAATGGGGGGGGGGGTCAAAGAAAAATATTCTCATATGTAGAGGAGGGGGGGGGGGTCATCATTAAATTTCTGCTCTTTTAAGGGGGGGACTTTCAATTTTAAAAATTTAGGAAAGAAAAAATTCCCCTCCCCCCCTTCCATAAATAATGACCGGTCCCTAATACGGAGCCATATGAGTTAATGTTAAGAGTAATTCTACACTATGTTCTACACCAATTTATGCGACGCGAACATGTTATCTTACAACATAAGCACAATCACATTATACACATTTACTGCAGCATTTAATAACTGTAAAAACGTAAATACTTAGTACCGGAAAATAAAGGCATAGATAAATGACTTTCCTCCTGCTCATATTTTGAATATTGCATCCTTTCGCTTCTAGTGTTGTAGGTATCCCCACCGGGGGTACTTTTATCCCTAGGGATATTAGTGTGGGGATACACAAAACACGCGGATACTCATATCACTGTGACACCGGCAACGGATTATCCCAGAGCCTCGCGTTCCTTCCCGAGAATCGCTGGCTCGGGGAACGAGATTGGCCCCTGGTTTGAGCTACGTTATGCCCATTCTCGTACCCAGAGCCCTTCTTACGCGCGGTGCGACGAGGGGCTCTGGCCAAATCCATATTCCGAACTGGCATCTGATTGGCTAGTTCTAACACCGGATATTGTTTTCTTACCATGTTTTTATGGTATCCGGTTATGGATTTGGCCAGAGCCCCTCGTCGCACCGCGCGTAAGAAGGGCTCTGGGTACGAGAATGCGTTATGCCACTCAGGCATTCTCGTACCCAGAGCCCTTAATTCTTACGCACGGTGCGACGAGGGCTCTGGCACAAAGGCTCTGGCCAAATCCATATCCGAACTGACATCTGATTGGCTAGTTCTAACACCGGATATTGTTTTCTCACCATGTTTTTATGGTATCCGGTTGTGGATTTGGCCAGAGCCCCACGTTGCACCGCGCGTAAGCGTAGAGTAGAATATATGGTAATGGTAATGGTTTATTAACACATTTAGTAGTAGTTACGCTAATTTACAATGTGTTTACAAATTTGGGTATAAAAAAGTATATATATATTATATATTTACATGTCATTCATTAAAATTAAAGTTTTACTAATCTATATCTATTTACAATATGTATAAAAACTACTAATGCATACCTATTTGTACATTAACTGATAAAATTTTAAAAATGATGATCCTGATCAACTAATCTAGAATTGTATAAGTATATACAGTAAACTAAAGGACTGTGTTTAAAACGTTCGGTTTTAGAGGGGAAATTATATAATTTCTGACTGTTAGTTCTTGTTTCTTTTTGCCTAATGTATTTTAGTTTCTCTGGTAAGAGGCTATGAAGTTTATGGTTTGGTTCCAGCATTTTTTTAATTAGAGATACACATAATTCGTCCCTACGTTCTTCCAAAGTTTGTAATTTTGTCTCAGTTATTGCTTGGTCGTAGTCTAGGTTTGGGTAAATTATTCTAAGTACTCGTTTTTGAATTCGTTCAATGCTCTTTTTCTGCTCTTGGGTTAGACCTCCGTTCCATATCTCTGCACCATATTCTAAAATAGGACGAATTACTGAACAGTAAAATGCTAACAAATTATCCATGAGGGCACCATAACTCTTCAAGATCTTTAATAAATACAGACGCTTGGCCGCTTTCTTTGTAATATATTCCGTATTAGTTTTCCATTTAAGATCGCAATCTAACCATATTCCCAGTAACTTATATGACTTCGTTCGAGAAACATTATGACCACCAACATAAATTGGGGGTATAGGGGTTATATTTTTCCTAAAGTCAATAATCATCTCCATACACTTTTTATAGCTTAGTTCCACTCCTTCGTCCTTTGCAAACTGTACCACCTTGTCTACGTTCATTTGAGTATTACCGATTGGGATGCCACCTAATGGTCACTGACATTGATTACTTCCGATAATGTTGTGTCATCCATAAACATCGCTACGTCCTGGTCTTCTACGGCATTACATATTTGCTCTTGGTTATTGGGTATAAATTCTAGTTCTTGGTTATTGGTTATGATTCTAGTTCATCCCCAAGAGAATGCAATACAGAAGCTACACTGAAAGTTTGAAGTCAATACTTAAATACTTTTTGAGATATTGCGCATGCAATAACGGCCATTGGTGGATTTCGGCAATTTGAGAAAAACTGTTTTAAAGTTGAACATATTGATTTTCAGATCAATATTGACCTACAATTGATTAATAAACGTTATGAATGGACCAGTTTAGTGTTAAAAGGTCCCTGCCTCATAGGTATTGACTTCTGTTTCCTGATTTTTATCTTCCCTCTTCTTTTTCTGGCCATACACCACCTTCCTCCTCTTTTTGACATCCGGCTTAGCTCGATGATCTGTTTTCTTTACATGCTTTTTATCAGCTTTGCAGACAACCTCTTCAAAGTAGTAGCCAAGAACTAGCCATCTTGTTGTAAGATATCAACAGAAGCCCTTGAACACATGTTGAAATGAGCAACAGCATCATACACACCCAACTGCAGAACATTGCCACCCACAAAAATTCTCTTCGGAAGCCTGTTCCAAATCATGCCGTTCAACGATTCGTTTTGGTTTTGAGTTTTCCCATCCAAACATTTGACCAACAAATCATTACTACTTAGTCTCTATTAAATGGGCCTAATCTGAGCAATGATGTTGTCTGGAAGACCATGTCCACACTTATATAAGTCAGTATTATTTGCCTTGTCTTGTTTAAAGCGGCACCAGCTGTCCGGACCATCAAGACACCAAGTATGTAAATTTCGCTTCTTTGATGAGACACAATGGATAATGTTGGCATAAATTGCAGCCTTCATTCCCTCCAAATTTCCACAATTACTTCTAATGGCAATGCCATAATAGTTTTGAAGTTTGTCAATCAAGGTGTCCGTCAATGGATAAGGTTGTGACACACCCATGGAGGGATGAATATCTTCGTCTTTGCCAGGTATCATCACCAGACACCACATTGGGTTATTTGACCAGGATTTTCACCATGAACCTCAACAGCTGCATCATTCATAAACTTGGTAGCAACAGGGTTAGCAGCTTTTGATAGGGCTATATATTACAATCTCGGTATGCTGGTGATGGCATGTTCATGTGAGTGCAGAATCTTTTCATGGAGGCATGCCCTTTACCAATGGATCGCATGGCATAAACAAGCCTTTTATTCAAAGGATTTCTTTACCTTCCTTGAAAAATAAAACGAAAAAACCCAACCACATTCCTCGCATCGCAAACGGAGATGAGATGCACAACCCTTACGTTCGAATTTTTTATCTTCAAGCACGAGGGATGAGGATTCACCACATTCTTTGCAAACTACTTGCTGAAAAACTTCACTGAGAATTTCTGTATCAATGACACGATGGCTGTTGCATGTAGCGATTCTTTAGTGGCATTTGGCGATTCTATAACGTTGATTTTTCGCGATGAAGCTGAAACACTTGCACTGGAAGTTGATTGAGCATATTTACTGTTAGCACAATTTTGGTGGGTCTCATTTGTACACGACTTCTTTGCATTTTTAACAAATCTATTTCCACTAAATCGCCGTTTATTTTGCCCTTGAATTCTCTCTTGCCATAATAACAGTGAAACAATTGCAGATTATTCGGAAATAAGCAAAAATTTGGTGTAATAAATCACAAAGAAAGACAAAGAAAATCGCTTGTTGTGATATTTTTGAGAATGATAAAGAAGCCCACGATGAGAAGATTGTCAAGCGGTAAGGGAAGGCTATAGTGCAGCTAATACTTCATGTTAGTAGCCTAAAATTGTACATCACTATTTTATAAACAATTTTTACCTCGATTTCAAACAGCAAACTTTGGTTGCTAAGCACGTTGCAATGGCGGAAATATTCAAAGCCCTTGGTATTTTGTCATTTTTCCCTAACTTAGTATGGTTTTTTACAATAAAATAGTAATGTTTGATAAGGCTTCAAAGAACCTAATTTTGAGTTTTTTGAAAATTCATAAATTTCACCAATAAAGTCAAAATTTTAGTATTGGACCCCCTTAATTGAAATAGCTGTACGTATATAATTATGTATGTATATAAAGATGTTTGTCATAATTCCGGGGAAATTATTAAGCTTCAGGAAATTGTTTAAATGAGGGGGGCGGTCCAACTTTATTTTGTATTTCGCACGCATGATTATTCTCAGGATTTCAGTTTTATTAAATACGAGCTTATATGTTGGATTTTCACGATGCAAACGATCGACATTCGACAATATTTTGAATAAATTAAGTGAGAAAGAATGGCTTTCTTTCTGGTGATATACATCAATAGATTTGCTGTTTAGCGTTCGATATAGATGTATTGAAAATCTGACTTCATGAATTTATCGGCAGTTTTAATAGCCCACTGGTCACTGTCACTGATCTATTCGTCAACGTCTTATTTAATTTGTATTTGAATTTATTAATAAAATATAGACTTTGCAACCATAGAGGTTGAAATACATCTATCATTTACAGGGTTGGTTGATTAGAAAAATATTGTATATTTACAAAAACATATTTACTATAATATAGGAAGATTTCTTTGGATAGGTATTCAGGTATGTTATAATGCCAAATTTGGGCGCAATACTCCAAAATACACTGATATCAATGTTTTAGTGTCACAACCAGCTCGCTTGAGAAGTCTAATGTAAAGGCGTTTTGCGGATTTTTTCACTATGTAAGCCACGTGGTCATTCCACTTTAGGTCGTCCTTGAAAATTAAGCCAAGGAGTTTAGCGGATTTCACCACTTCAATGGGCTGTTCGTCAACGATCATTGGAGGGAAATTTGGATTGTTTTTCCAAAAACAAACGAGGATTTCTTTGCATTTACGGGGATTTAAGGACATGTTATTTCTTGCACACCACTGCATAATTCCTTCTAAAATAGTTTGAAAGTTCGAATCTTGGTTTTTAGAAAGGGTTTCTGAAACAGACGAATCGTCAATATATTTCCATCTATCGTCCCAATCAACCAACAAATCGTTTATCATAATCATAAATAGAATCGGACCTAAGACAGTGCCTTGTGGAACCCCACAGTTCACTGGTTCGAAACTTGAGGTGTATTTACCTATCTTCACTCGCTGTTTCCTGCCAGTAAGAAACTGTTTTACCCATGCGATAATAATGGGATCCATGGCCATTTCCTCCATCTTCTTGATAAGAATATGGTGATCAATCTTGTCGAAGGCTTTACTAAAATCCAGAAGCAGTACACGCACGCATTGGTCAGATTGGTTGGTAGTTCCATACAGATGATGAAAAAAAGATAGAAGAGCGTGAGTTGTAGATAAGCCGGCGAGTGATCCGAATTGCTTCCTGTCAACGAGGTGTCTGATCTGTGACATAATCCACTCTGCGACAAAATGTCCCAAGGTTTTTGAGAGAATTGGTGTTAGAGATATTGGGCGTAGATCATTTTCAATTTCCTTAATCTTATCTGTTTTACGAATAGGTATTACATCTGCTTCTTTCCATGAAACGGGTACGACTCTCTCTTGGATTGACGCGTTAAAAATTTCAGCAACGGGTGATGAGAGTTCCATGGCAAACTCATTTAAGACCCAACTTGGTAAGTTGTCAGGACCCGAGGCTTTAGTGCGTTTGAGAGCTTCGTAAAAACATCTTCAGGAGAAATGTGGTATTTTAAAATAATTTCGTTAACTACTGCAGGATCAGTTTCAACGTTTTCCAATTGGCTGTTTAGAGGTTTTTGTAGAGGGTTTGTGATACACAGGAAGCTTTCGTTAATTTTTGTTGCTAATTCGGTTGAATGGAATTCTTTGCCCGATACAAAAACACTGGATACTGGTAATTTCTTAGGAAGTCCTCCAAGTTGTTTGATGGATTTCCACCAGGAAGCTACATTGTCACAGTTTTTTACCTTATTTGCAAAAAAGGAACTCCTAAGACTGATATTTAGCCTGTTAATAACTGAGTACAATTTCTGACTGAGTACAATGAATGGTGTCATCTGAAGCTGATATATTAATTAAACAAAAATGTCAACAAATAGATTCTGTCTCCCCATTAAGCATTGAAGGTATTCGCATAAAACCGGCTTGCCAAGAAAGTAGAATACTTTAGCTGACTTTTGACTTTGTGCAAGGTGTTTGATATTCAAATCGCACTTTTCCTACCTCCTGAACAGGCGTCTTAGGGGCTGTTTACATGTTGGAAGGCGGGGTGATTTTGATGTATTGAAATAAGTCAATAGGCTAAACGAAAGTTCAAATGCTGGTTAACAGAAATCAACTTTTGTACAGAAGATCTTGTTGTTCAAGAAGATTGTTATTGCCGCTTGAACAACCTTTCGTTTACAGTTAACTATAATCTATTTTTAGAAGATAATGTAGTTTTTTGCTGAATCGTGCACCGTAATTTATTTCAATACATCAAAATAATCCCGCCTCACATCTCGTCCTGGCAAAACTTTGATCTCGTGGAGGTGAGGCAGCACTTTCCTTGCGATAGTCACTCCTAGTAGTGAAAACATTTTCATTTAGTGAAAGATGGAATTTTGCAATCCACTCGGCTGTCGCTTCGTGGAACGCAAAATTGCATCTTTCACCTCATGAATGTACTCGTAAACATTGATTAAGAAAAAAAAACACATTTTCCGTGTTGATATACATTTATATCAACACGAGCGGGAATTGGGAAAACGAGAAATTGTGTGGAAACACGACGCCCGAAATTTATAATATAGCACAAAGAAATATAAAGAAAGACATTTTCCGCTTTGACATAGAGTTGTATCAACACGGCTCTTAGCCAATCAGCGTTCAGAATTTACAAATGATATATTATAATTATTTGTATAACATTCTCGATCATTGTTCAGGCCTCGAATTTGGGAAAAATAGAGGCAAGGCCAGTAGTTTGGCCTTAACTGTTACTAAGTTTTTCAGGGCATCAAGGCCAGTATACAGGGCATCAAGGCCAGTTTGAAAATTTTATTCAGTTGCTATTTTGAAGTTTCAAATAACGTTTGAGCTTCCATGAGAAAACAAAAATATACAAAACAGCAACAATATTTTTAAAAATGCCAAATGAAACTATTCATATCATAGTTACATGTATCGTAACTACCTATTAAGAGGATTTTTTTGTATGTTGAATTATAATACCCACTAAAAACTAGTGCGTTTAATATATCACTTGAGGTTAAAATTTTATGACTAAATTCAAAATTTTTATTTTTCTATACGTTTTTCAAGCGGCAAACAAACTTAAAAAGTACGTTTAGTGCTTTATCTGTAAAATAATGCTAAAATGAAGAGATTTTAGATGATACGCCGAAGAGAAAATGATGTCTGAAATTCAGCAAGTTTTGCTCATATGGCTGTAAATGGTGTCAATTTTAAAGCATCATTGATAATTGTATTTTAATTGACAATTTTTAACTATTATTATATGTTTCTCAACCGGCAGATGCATTTAAAAAGGTTGCTAACTCTATAAACTAGAGAATAAAGCTAAAACAAAGTAATTTTGAGAGGAACGCCAAAAAGATAAATTACGTTTTGAACACTTTGCATCGCAAATACGTGACATTGAAAAAAATTGCCTCTTGACTTAAACTATAACTAATAAAATTGTACAGTACATAAGTGATTATTGCCAATTTTACAAATCATTCACTTGGCATTCTATATACTGTACTCTGTGGTTGAGGGCAGGCCACTACTGGCCGTGGATTTTAGTATATTTCGAGGGCATAGCGGCCAACAAGCAGGGCATCGACGGCCAGTGGCCGCCGTGGCCGCCGCTAAATTCGAGGCCTGAATTGTTCGAAAAAACAATGTTGCATAGATTCCACGAATATTGTTCAGTATGGAATGGGTTTGTGTTTATTTGCATGAGAATAACTAGCATATGAATTTACTGCAGCTGTAATTAATCTCCCGATAGCTTATTCGGAAACTTGTCAATATTTAATCGGTTATAACTTTCCCTCACACAAGGTAAGAGTATCGTAGTTGCGGATATCGATGTCATCATCACCCACGTCATCCACATCCCTCCAAAATGACCCATAGATACAATCAAGAATAAGCCTTGCAGAAAATAATCCGTGAATTTAATAAAGGAGCTTGTAATCCCTTCTGCGACTGGATATGCTATTTCCGCTCCAAACTCGAAGAAGAAAGGTAGTGCACCGTTTACGAAAAATCCAATTAAACCAAACATGACAAAAATAAGAGTTTTGTTGAATGGAATGACTTTAGAGAATATGAAACAAACGATTAGAATTGAAAATGTTCCACAAGCCATGAAGATTAGGAGAAACTCCTTTAAATGTCCAGAGAAGCGGTCAGCAAATCTGAAAACGATAATATGATCAATTAAAATGCATTCGATATACCATAGCGCAATCAGCATTAGGAAAAGTCAAGGACAAGGTGAAATGAATGTCAAATTTATGAAACCATTCTAAAAGGGTAGGCAAGCAAATTAAAGTCAAAATTAAAGTACTCTAAAGTACTCTGACTCTTTATAAACAAGCTTTCGTTGGTAGGGATGCAACTACCTGAAAAATATAAGGAGAATTTTTCAGGTCGTTGCAATTATTATACAAAATCTTTACAGATATTAAAACAATTCAGTGCACAAGACAGTTATCAATATGTGCCCTCTCTACTTAGATATAAAGTAAGTTAGTTCAAAAACTATTATTCAGTCTACCTATTATAAAAGTCTTTCAAAAACGTAAACATTAAGTCAATTAAGACTACAGTTCACATGTACCTATTTATAATAATCTTTCAATAGCTTAAGAGATTGGTCATAATCTCCTTGTTCATATTATTGGCACTACCTATACTGGCACAGACAGCTCTCACTCTTTAACCTATTTTCATATTTGTGTTTTCTTGGTGAGATAATTCGATTTTCGTATACTGTCATGCAATGAAAACAAACTTGCGTCACACGTTATACAGAGGGCCCCAAAAAATTGAATAACTAACTTCCAGATTTTTAAACAGCTATAATTATTAGTGGGCATCGATTTTGACGCCAAAAGTATTAAAATTTATTTAGTTGTACTGCCTAGACTAATGGGGTTAATAATCAAATTGAAACTTACATAGAAAAAAATACGCCAGAAAACGCTCCACTCACAATGGCAATAAATCCTAACCATCCAGCAAATTTTTGTCCGACGCCAAATCCCTGTAAATTTTGATCCAATACAGAAGACCAACCACTGTAAACACCACAACTTGCACCATACAGTAAAGCTAATAATAAAAAACTACGATTCTTTAACAAGCGTGAAATTCCACTTTTTGGGCTCATTCTTTCTGTACCCGAAGACCGACTGGGGAGATGAGGTGGTTTCGCAGGATAATGAATGATAACTGCTAGAAATAAGAGACCCATGAGTCCAGTTTCGACCAAAAATAAATTTCGAATTTGTTTGAAATAAAATTCTCTTTGAGTCGAATTCACTTGACTGTAATGTATTGATCCTATATCATCAACAAACAGAGGTCCAATGATAAATGATAACGCACTGCCTGTGGCGGTTCCTCCCATCAAAAGTGCAGTTGACGTTGTGCGCTGGTTGCTAGGAAACCACGTTGCTGATACAAGCACTCCACCAGACAATGGTATAGGTGCAGTAATGCAACTCAATATCTGACCAAAGCAAATTAGTACTGTTGAAATGGTCCAATTTTGGCCGGTAGGAATACACCTGAATACTGAGCCAAAGAACTGACATCCAGCTGCAAGGACCACTGCTGTTCTTAAACCTTTTAGGGAATAAAATTATATTTTAGAGAATACACACAGTTTGTATTCTACACACTAGGGGTACTTTCCATTAAAACAATCAATCAGTCAGACAGATCCAATTGTTAAACGGAGCACAAAACGGGACACAAGTCCCATGCGAAGACCAAGTTCAGTTGGCTAAAAAAACGTAGCAGGCATAAACTAACTAGACAAGGATTACAACACTATTTTATTAGTACATAATTATAAAATTTAGGATAGATTATGAGCAACAGCTCAAATAATCTGTCCTGTATGTTATAATTGTGTACATAGTGTTGTAGTCGAATGCTGTTGGGTGGCAAGATGAGGCACCGACTCTGTGCTGTGCCACAAGTTATACGGATAGCTAGGGCAGTGTCGTAACAACTAGGGTCACAGTAATCAGTAATCAGTAACGTGTTATTTAAAGGGCCTCGGTGTCCAACGAAAATTGCCCTCCTTGAATATCTGCCAAATTCTCAACTTGCTAGTCCCTCCCACACTTTTTGATCATTTTTATCCCCACTTTCGAAACAGTTACTGTAACAGTAGGTTCACTTGCCCAAGTACAGTACTGCCAAGAAATAACTTATCAAAAACCGCGTCCATAACTTATCAAAAACCGCGTCCAAGACGCGGGTATCTTGCGTCCACAGACGCCCGCGTGTGAGTCCACTATGCGGGCCCCATGCGTCCGCTTTGCGTCTGCGGGCGAGCAAGCAGCTGCGAAAGAGTTCTCTTCGTAGATCGTCGGAAATTATCGCGTTTCGCTTTTCATAAACAAACTGTAGGCGTCGGAAAATATTTCATGCTAACGATTTCACACTACATTTTTATACACTCTTTAGCGGGGGAATATTTTCCTTTTCAGCCCCGTCTTCATCTTGATCTTTGGCTTTGCCTTTTTTGACTCATCTTGCCTTTCTCGCATCGCGTTTAGCTCAAGCTGGGTTTCAAGACAGTAGGATCATCTCGATTCACCAATGAGAAAAATCAATTCATATAGTAGGATCATCTCGATTCACCAATGAAAAAAATCGATTCATATATCATGATATATATGTATTATTGATTTACAATGCTCAAATATAGACAATAGCATCATGCATGCAGTTCACATGCTTTTACTAAACGTTAATACGGACAATGTTTTAAGCGAATATCGCGATAAAAGTGTAATATAACACTATTTGTAGTTCTAATATTAAACTTATTTATTATTATCATGTAAAAATATTTATACACGGTAGCCTTTCACTTGTGTGATTTTCAAAGGGCCGTGTGTTTTAAAAAGAATTACAACAGTTAAGTAGTTAAGATATTACAATATATGCAAGCTAGTATTACAAAGTTTCATAATAATTAATTAAGCTACGAAAAGAAGATTCGTCTACCACTCGTAAAAGTTCAGAGGGTGGACTATTCCACGCGACAGCCCCACGATAGGAGAAGCTTCTTTTTAGAAAATCTGTTTTTGGCTTAGGAACGCTCAATCTTAAAGTGACGTTTCAGAATTTGTGCTTCGTAAAGTTCCTTTTCGTAGTCGACCTCTACTTTCGCACCTTCGGACAACGTTTGGTTTGAACCCATGAGTGTTCTTTTAACGTTGCGGTTGGCAACATGCACGAGGTTTTATGTTCTTCGGATATATAACTATGTACAAGTAAAACTATACAAAAAAACAAGGAAGCAAAGAATAATAGAAAGGAATTATATAAAAACTTGGCATGAATACTTGGACCTCGTGTTTTTCTTTAAAGCAATCACGGGCGTAATAACTGTGAATACAGATGTTCTTCCAGCTGTTTGATTGACGAGAGTAACAAGAAACAACAACAGTAATGTCACGCAGTTTATCACGAGAAAATGTAAAACTACAACTTTTCAACGATCCTTTTTTAATAGAGCAACACGACTCTGGAATATTCTAGCAAAATTTAATGATCTGCACCTTACTCTCTCTCTTCCTCTCAGTACATTTAAATCAATATTAATGGAATACTATAAAAACGCTCTTGTCCAATCCTATGACCCCGAGGACGCTCGACATGGAAAACAATTTGTACTTCATGTAACGTTGCTCGCAACATGTCAAGACGGCTAACTTGTTGTTTTAACACATTTTTAGCCTAGTTTTTATAATCTTCGGACCCGCAGTAATTGGCTGACGCTGTTGCGGTGCTCCTGCCAAATTTAGACGTCATTTGTTGTAATTTCTGTTATGCTATGTAATTTATATATAGTAATTTTGTATATTTTTTGTTGGCGAAGCTAATAAAACTAAAAATAACAATTTGTGCGATCCAAAGGAGGTGTTATGCCTGACGTATTTTTCTTTTAAAAGAAGAAAGGGTTTCAGACTTTTTGAATCCTCAGAAAGATGGTTCCATTGCATGGCACCACTATATCGAAAAGTTTTCTTTAAAAAATATCTGTTAGGTTTAGGCAAGCATAGGTCTGCAACTCTGCATCGCTACTACGCAAATCATAATTAGACTGAATTGTGTTTCTTTTGCAGAAAAACTCGTTTAGATTAGGGGCAGTGTGGTTATTAAGTATTTTGTACATCAATATTAATTTATTTTCTAAACGTTTCACATCAAGTGTTTGCCAACCGAGAGCATTCAAAACATCAGTAGACGTAACATCGTAACTGGCTCCAGTAATCACTCTAGCTGCACGGGATTGAAATTTTTGTAGTTTATCTTGACATGTTTTTCCACAGGTAACCCACAGAGGGGAACAATAATCAAAGTAGTTGAATTAATGCTTTGTAAATTGCTTGTAGAGTAGCAGGTGGGACATGAGGCGTTTCCAGCACTGACTTTACAACATATCGAATCGATGTGTGCATCCCAAGTTAATTTTTCGTCAATGCATGTCCATCCCTAAACATGTATATTTGCTGGTTTGACGGACTGGGGTATTATCATAGATATCTTATATACACTAGATAGCGCATCTCTTTTAGTAAAATATTCCAGCGGTTACCCCCATTTGAATAGATGGCGGCCATGTTGGTCGTTCCCACTTGCTAATAAACGCTTAAAAACAGCAATAACTTTCATCATTTGAATAGTTTAAAAACGTATTTGGAATAGATTTAACTTAATGTTTAAGTTCCCTGTTTAAGAAATAGAAAACATACGAATCTTCTCATTTCATGAGAACGACCTGAGACCAGGGTGCGATAATTCAATATTTTTAGCCGTACCTGACTGGTACTCCGACAACTTTTGCCGCGTACCTGATCTGGTACAAACTTAAGAGTCAAGACGTACCTAAAACTACTTCCGAGTCATGCGTTTTTATACCTACGTATAGTTTACTGGTCCAAAAGCAAAAATATGTATGGGCAATTTTGTACAAATGAATCTTTAATTATGGTATTTGTACAACATAATATCACAGTTTTCAAAGCGTCGAACGTTGTGACTCGAATGCCATCGCTCATTTGCAGTGGATTTACCGAGGGCGAGGGTGCTAACAGTCTGACCACAGCTATACATACAGTGTAGTTTTCCTCATTGGGCCTAAAAAAACCCTTTGGTTCCGGTTTCATATCGCGAAAAAATTAGGATATGTAGGTCGGAAATAAAAATGTTTTTGAATATTTTTTCATGGTTTTGACGGTTTTTTGTTGGGTGATTTTCAGTAGAGTCCCGACATCAATGACGACATCCACGTCCTCTTGTCTTGTTATATAAAACCGTCTATTATTGTGACACCAGACGCCACGCTGTGCGAGCAGCCCGCAACCACCCGGAGAAAATAGGGTAACACGGTCAATCCTGTTGAAAAAATAATAGGGTGGGCAGAAAAAAATAGGGTCGGTCGGGAAACCGGAACCACAGGTATTTTTTTAGGCCTTATAGCATTCACCATTATGGCATTAAGCCCAGGTCACCCCACAAAACGATAACGATACGATAACTTGTAAACACGCGATGATTGGTCAATAAAATTATGTTGGTGTCCACACTACAACGAAAACGATAAAATTATCGGCGTTTGACTATAACGATTTTAAAATCCTCACTGGAGTGATTTTTTTTTCAGTCGAACGATGACGATAAATTTTTTTTATCAAGGGCAAAGATTACCTTTTGGCTTTTTTCATCCCAAGATATGTCCGATGCGTGGAATTTACATGTACAGCTAAAGTTCTTCACGGTTTTAAATACTTTGGCAGGTTTGCTAGTTATTGCTAGAAGGAAAATGCAAGTACGCGAATAGCAAATTTTCGCGTATCTACGTGGTACTTGCCTAAAAACAAAGAAGTACCAGACCATAAATTTGGCGTACCTCCGGTACGTTGGTACGCGAATTATCGCACCCTGCTGAGACTGCAATCACGGCTTCAATTTTTGAATTGCAGTATTCACCAATATTGGCGTATTTCCAATTTTATTGAAGAGGTTATAAGATAGCGCAATAAAAATGACTTTTGTTTTGGTGGGATGATGTTGAAACTTGTTTTTTAAAAACCACTTCTGTTATTATTTAGATCATCATTTAAATTTTGAGCTAATGTTTCAAAATCGTATGAGGAAGACGAAATTTGAGTATCATCTGCATAGAGGTATACGGATTTGTTTTTTTCAAGTGATCTGGCATGTCGTTTGTGCAGCTGTGATTAATTTTATACTGCAACTTTGAAAATCAGGCGATGAGTCACCGTCATTGAAACAGAAAGGCTGTTTCCTGGACATGTAAAGGTATTCCATTAAGGGATTAAGACTGGCCGTGGGCAATGTATGCAAATGACATATCACTATGTGCATTCAATAGTAATGATATTTTGTATGGAAAATCGAAGCACTACGTATATATTGTAATGACCATCTTCATTTTAATATACTGTACTGACGAATTACGGAGACATAACATTACTCAAATACAGAATTGCCGTGACCGGACGTTTGACCGACAGACAGTTGGCCGACAGACACTAGACCGACAGACGTTTGACCGACAAACAGTTGGCCGACAGACACTAGA